GTGAAGTCACTGGCACAGCTCACAGAAAGGGGCTGTGTTATTGACATCCTTAGAGCCCTAAGATGCAAACATTTTATCTGAAAAGACGTAGCGTTAGAGGTATACTCAGCTATACTCTGAGAATAAATGACTTCTTCCACACCAAGGGTCTTCATCTCTTTCATATTCAACTCAGTCAGTTTAGAGCAGAGACAGCACACTTCTCAGTTGCTGATGGTAACTCACGCAGCGTCCGCCGTGTTTCCGGCATTACGGCCGTGGGGATCAGACGGACATAAGGAAAGGCTGACTCCCCTGGGAACCTGCATTCCCACAGCTGGAGGCCTTCCTGTCTTGAGAGTAAGGTCTGTGATCCTCTCAATAAGGTAAAGGTAAACTCTGGGCAGAGACCAGAAATCCTAGCAGGCAGAACCAGCTTCTCTGCCCTGAGTGACCTGCTGGGTCAGCTTTTCCCAAACCCAGTCCCAGCTGGTTCCAGGACAGGTTTTAACCAATAAATAATACACTTGGATGCCTTGGCCTATCTCAATACAAAGACGAATGACCTGTCAAAGTCTGATCTGCTTGTTCTAGAAGGTACTGTTCAGCCAATATGTTATATTTATTAGTCTTTTGAGCACAAGCCAGATTTACAGCTTTCCATTTTCTTCTTCTCACCACACAAATGTGTGAACATGAACCCTTTTATCAGTCTCTTCTCTGAGGCATGGCCTGGAGACTGACTCACTGAGACCATCATTTATTAGTGAGAGAACTGATCGGAGGATATTTGGAGAAACAGAATTAGTGGAAGATCAGAACATCTATTAGGATGGCATCTTAGTCAAACCTGAGGTGGCATCATCTGGAAGAAATGAAGGTCTACATAAACCCCCTTGGGAAGGGGCTCACCCTGTCTTTTGGCTATGTTAATCTCATCAAATTAATCACCGAGCTACCATCTTTGTCAGGAAAAGATTCTGTGATTAACAAAACCTGTTCCCTTTGGAAAACAATTAGCTTTCAGTGAATTAAAGTTATGGGACACTCAATGAATTGTCTCCTGCAAGAGACACTATTTGATAATTGACACTCTCGTGGGAAATACCGAAAGAACATTTCCATAGGCAATAATGTCACATTCTCTATTATGGTTAGCATAACTTAAACTCTTAAGAAATTTTATTTTTTAGACCCTAAAGGATGTGTTTTTCAGAATGTATATAGAAAATAACTTTTTAAAAGAAAAAATGAGAGTTACTATTTTCTGCAGTCATAAAAATCTATTAAGGTGAAAAAAATTTTAAGTATGTGATATTTTTTAAAGCAATGACAATAAAGTTCTGTTTGACATCAGTATTTCTTAAATATGGAATAGCCGTGTTGAGCATATTTAAAATAGCCACAAAAACCAGTTAAGTGATTTTCATGGTCTGTACCTAGGAAGATTGGTTTTTTTTAATTATTTGTAATAGAGTTCTATCAGAAATGCCTTTGTGAGTTAAATGTTAGAAGTATGCAAAACTCATCCACCAGTACTTGTGTTATTAGTGATAATCGTAAAGTAGCAAGCTGTGTGTTATTCATCCATCAGTACAGTTCATGGCATTGAGAATCATAGTGTTTAACTCACAGTACTCTTTCCAGAAATGCTGGGTGTGTTTTAGTCAAGCCAGCTGTTGATGTTTCTCTTCAAGAGTTCCAGGGAGGGCCCCAAACCATGGACTTCGGTCGTTATTTTTGGCTCCTGTCACTCTGAGCAGCTAACATGACACTGGGCCTCAGCTCCAGGGTCTAGTTTGTGTGCCAGCTGATTGTCATGATGCTAGTCTGAGGTATCAGTTGGTCTCTTTGTAGGTACAATGTATCACCCTGGAATATCAGTGAGCCAGTGAACACCTGGCAACTCTTAAGGTTTCACGCAATCATTCCTTTGGAAATACTGTAAATAGGTTAGCAAATAGCTTAAATGTGTTTTTAATTTTTGTTCAGTTTATTGTGGACAGAGGAGGCTACTTTATTGTGCTGTTTCTGGTTATCCCCGGGTTGAACTGTATTCTGTTCAAGCGAAACTATTTTGAGTTTGCGCGTGTCTTCTATTTTCTAATTAAAAGACATCCATACATTTGGACATATATATATATCTATTCCCCAAAGTAGCCCTGTCTTCTCTATTCACTGTACGCTGATAGAAGTGAATGGACAATTAGCGCCTGCAGGAAGAGGTCCTTCCGGTCATCCCTGCCCAAGGGCTGACTCGTCGGCCGTGGTTGGCAAGTTTCTGGAAGAATGAAGAGGAGGCACCAGGAATCTTGCATTCTTCCCTCTAACTTTCATTTCTTCCTTTTCTCCCCACAGGAACTTTTTACCCCTGAATGCAAGTTCAAAGAATCTGTTTTTGAAAACTATTATGTAATCTACTCATCTATGCTGTACAGACAACAGGAATCTGGTAGAGCCTGGTTTTTGGGATTGAATAAGGAAGGGCAGGTTATGAAAGGAAACAGAGTAAAGAAAACCAAACCAGCAGCCCATTTTCTACCGAAGCCATTGGAAGGTGAGTGTCGTGGATGCATCGTTCCTATCAGAGCTCTCACACATTTATTTTTCACACTGACGACTCTACCGTGGCCACAAAGATCCTTCATGGGATGGTGGAAATGCTCTTTATCTTGATCTGCTGGGTGATCCCACAGGTACCTACTTAAATTGTGCATTTAAGATCTGTATGCTTTACTGTATATATGTATATGTGTGTATGTTCTCTCTCTCTGTCTCTCTCTCTTTCTCTCTCTCTCTCTCTCTATATATATATACACACACACACATACATATATATATTCCATTAATTTAAAAATACCAGAAAAACTCCCTCTCTACTCATTCTAATGGTTCAGCTCCTCACTGCCCCAACCTCTCTAGCCCCTAAATAATTTTAATTAATTAAAAAATGTTGAATCTGTAATGACATTACAAACCTGCAACCGTGACAATAGATATATAAGAAAAACCAAGTTTTGAATATTACGGATTTTTAAAGTATTTTTTCACTTTGCTGTTATCGGCTGAAAGTAACCATGTGCTTGTAACTTAGCATAATTACAGGAAATGAAGAGTTAATAAGTTAGTCTTTAAAGAACTTGTTGACGTTAGATAGCTCCCTTCCAGACTGCATAATTGTTTAGTAAATTCAAATGTGGTTCTTCGTTCTTTTACGTTTACCTAAAAACACTGAAGCCTTCACGTTTCCTTTGATTAGATTTCCAGAGAGGAGGCTGAGACTCTAAAGATGTGGTGGGACAATATAACTCTCTATTTTAAGCATATACTGAACTGTTGTGTGTCTGTGTGTTTGTTGTGTGTTTATGTATATGTGAAGAAGAGAAAGTATTTCAAGTAATTAGTAGACAGAAGCACTCTAAAAACAGTTGCGGGGTAGTATAAAGACAGAGGTTATCACATAGTGTAATTGGTAGAGGAAAATTAATTGCGAAGTTTCCAAACTCGTACAGGATGTAAATTACATCATTGGATGTGTTAAGGCAAATTTGATTCTTGATTGATTACTGATGCTCTGGGCATTTGTATTTCTTAACACAACTTCACGTCTTAGACACTCAGGGGTAACAGTGTGAGGCTGTTTTCTCCTAACTGAACGACTAGTGGGAGTGAGAGGTTGGAAAGAACCTCAAGGATATGGATGAATCCTTTTCACTACTCACGAGTCACTTACTGTCGGTCCCAGTACATACGCACTTTCAAGTGTGCGTGCTGCTGAGAAATCAAGTGATGCATTTGCAAATGGTAAAATCCTACCGTCTTGAACGTGCAGAATGCATATGGTGCTTCCTGCTAGCTAAACAGAAGGTGTCTTCATAAAATATCATAAGCTTTCAAATGCCTAAAAAGGAGATTGAGTAGCTCTAATTCACTTATATTTCTGATGGCAGATGATTTTAACGCAGCTAGTTTTCCCCAAGCCTCAGTCCCCTGAAATGCCCTTCCCCAGTATTCCCTAGAATCATTTTCTAAAAAGCCACATCAAGTATGGTGATTAATTATGTCCCCAGATACAACTCAAGCAACTCCTCAGAGCTCCCTCAGACGTCATTCCCACTTCCCTCTTGCCATCTGCACCTCTGCCTTATGTGACATCAATTTCGGATTTTTTAATATTATATCTGAAAATAAGGCATAAAGTATAAAACACCCCCCACTTGCCTTCAGTTATGTAAGGGTCTCTGCATGATTGCAAGAGTGGAAATCTGAGCTCCTGAAGGCTCTGGCTGAAAGACAGCGAGTCCTCTCTCACTGTTCTGTGTGGCTTTGGAGATGGCAGTCGTGTTGATTATGTTGTTTTTGCACTGCTTGAGAGAAAAATGATTGAATGACCTAGGAGTGAAAATACTTAGACTGGAAAAGGCGAGTGGGAATGAGGGTCCAAGTGTTGACATCAGTGTGCCATGAAAGGGGAGTCGGGGTTTTTCTCTCGGAACAAAGAGAATTAGGTTAAACGCTTCCCATTCTCACCTCCTTCCTGTGGGGGGCGCGTGCGTGTGGGTGTGTTACATCTTAGCCCACAGAGAGGCCACAGCCCCCAGTGACACCTTCAGTCCTGGACGAAACTTTGTGCGTATTTCGGACGCACAAAGCAGAGAATGCAAAGCAAGGAACAGCTTGTTTGGGGGCTGCATTTTACTGCTTTCAGACAGGAATTCCCTCCCAGCGGGGATACAGCAGGGCAAACAGGACTGGGCGAACCGCTGGGGTCTGGGCGTGAACCTAACCGGCTCCTCTCCTTTCCCCCGCCTCCCTGCCCTCCTCCCATCACTAGTCGCCATGTACCGAGAACCATCTTTGCATGACGTGGGAGAAACGGTCCCGAAGGCCGGGGTGACGCCGAGCAAAAGCACAAGCGCGTCCGCAATCATGAATGGAGGCAAACCAGTCAACAAAAGTAAGACGACATAGCCAGATCCCCACAGGTGTTGTGACTCACTCGCCCGAGCACCGTTGAGCGATTTATCCTGGCCGGACATTCCTGCTCCCGGGCCGAGGAGCAGCGGGAGGGAAGCGAAAGCTTGCTCTGCGCTGCCTCGAACTTCCTGGTCGCCAGCGGATAAATCTCATCTCAACGGGTTGCGCCCCCACAGCCAGAAGACACCTGGATAACCAGCTCAACTCAGACCATGGAATGCCCTACCAGATATGGAATGCCTTTTTACTCTCTTTTCTGTGACTGTGGCACTTCATGTGAATGACACACTTCACAAGTACACTCGATACCTTGCCTGCTGACAGCTACCCATTATCCTTTTCGAGTCCTGTTTCAGCGAAATCCATGTGTTTAAGTTCAATTTTTGTAGCACACAGATACTCTGGAGTAATTTCTAGTTAGATGCTGTAAACCTGTGCTGTTCTGGATTTCTCTTCTCCCCGTTTTTACAGGGCTGCTGGCTCCACTGTCCGTGACCTTTGGCAGGGATTGTGTTCCTCTAAATAGTGACGGTTGCCGTGGGCTTAGTTCGGAGAGCGATCAGGGCATCAGAAGGCCTTCTAAACCTATAATGACAAATTGCATCTATAAAGATTAGGAGCGTTGACTCCGGCTCACACGATCAATTAAACACACATATACGCCCTGCCCACCAGCAGACACTGTGCTGCGGTGGCCGGCGCGGCCGGGGTGAGAAGCGGGGTCAAACGCAGTCATGGGACGCCCTCTCTGATCTGGGTTTGACATCCCCCTCTAGTTTCTTTGTGTGTGTGTGTGTTTTCTACATATCACAAGCTTACTGGTAATGGTAACATTTGCCTTGCCCAGCGAGCAAGACCCACTGGTTTTTGAGAAAGTGGGTCCAAAGAACTCTGTAGGCCTTGTAGGCCTGATTAAGGTTCATTTTTCATCTACGAATCCTCATTATTTGGGAAAAAAAAAGAAAAGAAAAATCCGTAATTACAACCTACAAGAATTGCGCTACCTAAATCCACTTCAGATCGAATCCCTCCCGTTTCTAACGAGCCGCGCTGAATGCCGCCCCGGTTGTGGCTGCGTTCCTCCCTCACTCAGCAGAGCATGAGCAAGGCCGCTGTTGTGTTCTTTTCTGCAGCAGCAATGCAAACGGTAGTTATAAATTAGACTTTAATATTTTTGGTGTTTAACGACAAGTTTTTAAACTCGACATATTAGAAACAAAAGGTATTTTTTTTAGCCCAGCATGCTGAGTCAGGTACTTGTCTCCACCGGTCCATGCCTCTAACTCAGCTTCCCGGGCCACGCGGTCCCAAGGCGGAGTCAGAGGTGCCTTGCCATGATCTCAGAATGCAGTCTGTTGAATTATTCTAGATAAAAATAAAGGCAAACCAACACGTTCACACGGCAGGTTTTCAGTCCATCCAAGGTTTTTGGTTTTGGTTTTGGTTTTTGCCGTTGTTTTCTTTTGCTTTCTTACCTTCCTTTTGAATTGAATAGCTGAACGCTGAGCTTAGGGAGGACCCCTAATTACTGGAAGGCCAGTCAGGCAATAGTTGACCACACAGTGAAGAAACTCTGCAAAATGCGCAATATTGGATACCAAGAGTTTCAAAATGTTTCATACTAAACTGTTTGGAAATGTATTTGTTAACTCTGTGTATACTTAATAAATTTCAATGTTTTCTCCTCAGAAGAGTTAACTGAGACCAAACTGAACCTCAATTTATAGAAAACTATGCGGGATCCATGTACTGGCCTCTTGTCATTATTTCCACGTGGAAGGGTGACCCAGTCGCCGTTTTCTCCCATCTGCACTGTATCTACTGGGAAATTATTTTGCCTCCGCTTTTCTGAGTCTCCATGACAGCCCTTGCCCAGCATTTTAAAATTTTGGCCTGCTTAGCTGATTAAAGATTTAGTATCAATTTAACTGTTCATGCTTATTTCATTTTCATATCGAATTCTACTTTAATAAATAAAAAGTTAGCGTAACATTTGAGTAGCTTTGTTGTCAATACTACTAACGTACAAATACAACAAAGGGTTCTTTTGATCACTCCTAGTTTCCCCTTACACCTTTTAAACCTGATTGTTCTTAAAAGGATAAGTTAAAATACATTAGAGGCATTGCATTAAGCAATTGTTTAGGGAAGACTTATATTCCATAACATGTGGCAAACTATGAGTAACTTAACTTGAGATTCCAATTAAATGGAATTACAGACACTGCTTACCCCAGCGTGCGTGTGCACGCGCACGCGCGCACACACACACACACACACACACACACAATCAAACAACCCCACCTATATGTTTTTGGTAATAGCCCAACTTGCTGGTTTCTTTTTCCCCTGCAAGCTTGTTTATTGGTTGAAATTATGACATGATTTATTTTTGTAAGTGACTGAGATTTCAGTAGATGTGTACCTCTGTTTTGTTTTTTACATGAGTTGTCTCTAAGGGCATTTATCCCTATGAATGGATGTCAAAATGCTTTCTTCTAATATATGTTTAGACGTACTGAAGAGGGGTCCTTGTTATTTGTAATTTAGTTAGATCACTTCCTCTGTGTCTGGTCTGACTTGTTGCAGGACAAGGGCAGCACTGATGAACTGCATGTTGTAGGACCTGTTTATCAAGACCCGTTGGTGTGTATCACTCAATCTACATACAAAGAGTTTGTCTGCGTTGTACAGTTTCTGTGTTTGATATCGTTTGTTGTATTCATAAATACAACATATTGAATAAAATATTTATATGAAGGCATATTCAGAAACATCGAACAACTTTATGTAACGAAATGGCATTGCATCACCCACAAATACAGAGAAGTGTCATGTAAATAAGTTGGTAAACTCAATTTCCCCCTTTACCATGCCAAAGAAAATTTTAGCTCTTTGATGATACCTCTCTTGCTAATTTTTCCGGGATGAGACTCCCCCACTGTCCCTCTCAAAAATTGCTGTTGTTAAGTAAGTGCAATCTGTCGCTGTTGGTGTTCTGTACAGTCAACCTGATGGAATTCATTTGTATTTACCGACCACCACGTGTTTTGTACTTCCATGTACATATGTCAGTTGTACTGAGTCTCTCTAATCTCACATTCCTTTTGCATGCGTATCTGCTGTGGGAGGGTTATTTCTAGTGATTTGTTATGGTAGCTGATTTCTTCACCCGTTCCTCAGCCATGCTCCAGAGCATCATTGTTTTGATATTTCTAGTGACACCATTTTAATTTCTTATAAGTTTGCTTTCTAAAATATTTTGCTACAACTTTACTTGGAAAAATTATAGAAAAGATGCAAGTGGTCCAGCCTATATAAAGAGTAAACTGTAACTGACATCATTTCACTGCAGATCTTGGAGAATTTAGAGATTCTTGCTCTAAATATTCTCTTGATCTGAGTGTTCTGGGGTAGGGGTTGGCTTCAGGAGCTCCAAGATGGGCCCACAAGACTCCTGGGGCCGTCCTAATTGTTTGCCTCTTGGAAAATAAGAAGAGTTTCTTTGTCACACCTGGCCAGATGCTTAATGAATGCCTAAGGCACTAAAGCAAGTTGGATGTTTTCAGGATGACAAGTATCAGATTTGGTTCTTTTTTTTAAAAAACAAAATGACAAAAAAATTCATGGTTTTTAAGTTAGACGTGTATCACTTCATTTAAAGTTTTCTCTCTAATATTAGAGGGAAAATTAAAATTTGAGAGACCAGATTGACTAAGAAAGCCATTTTAGAAAGAATTGACAATAATTAAAGATGATTTTCAATGTTGTTTCAGAAGAAAACTATATCCAGGGAAAGCTGTTGAACTAAATGTAGGTGCATCAAACTCCAGGTGTGAACTGGGCTACTTTGGAGTAAAATACATTCCATAGCGAAGCTTCCTTAGCTTACACAATGGCACGTAGGGCCTGTTGACTCTCTTGAATACTGAATAGGGTTTCAAAGGTTTGATCGTGAGTCTACAAATAAACGTTGAGCTATGTTTTGCTTTTGTTTTTTCTTGTTTTGTTTTGTTTTGTTTTTTCTGTCATGTGGTCCAGTTCCCCATGTTGTGTTTGCATCTGCAGGGCGGAGGCCATTCCTTAAGATGTGCTGTAGGACTCGAGATTAGCTCAGAGTCCAGGGAGACAATGGGATACAGTGATTCTCCTCTTAGGTCTCACGATGTTAGTAGCATCTTACTGAAAAGTCCTTATGGAAGAATTCCTCAGTGATGGTTTGCCAAGCATGCAGGGTTAGTGTCAACCCCATCTGCAAACTTGCTGCATCCTTCCCAGTTGACACCAATCCCACCGTAACTTCCAACCAACTTGAACAAGCCATACTATCCCTGTGCCTATTATATATTTGCATATTCCCCCCCCATTACAAACTTGTTCTTGCCCTGCCTATTTTTAAACAGAAAGTTTCTATCTTAGTAATGGAATCAAAAGTCCAAGTACAAAATCATATTTAAGAAGTGCAGGATTTATGTCTACATATAACTATATTTGTTTTCTTTTTCTCCGACTTAAACATGTAAATTAAATCACTTCTTAACAGAGAGCTATTGATGCTTGCATTGCTAGACAAAATCACACATAAACACACACACACAAGAACCGTTAGAGCAGACAGAACGAGGTGAAAAGAAAATATGACTGTTTTAAAAGAAAACTATTCATTAGCGTTTAGGTGTGCCAGGCTATAATTCAGTTTGGGATCAATACTCTGTAGCTAAATAAACCTCAGAATGTAGCTGGCTGTATTTTCAGCTTGGTCACAAAATCTGGACAAGTCACATTTTGAACTTTATAGTATAGTAATTTCTCCATATTTAGACTTTTTCTGAAAAAAACATAAATGCTGAGGACATTTTTCTTATGTGAAAATATAAAAAGAGCAGCTCTTTTCTTGGAGTGTTGTGAACGAAAAGGGATAATGAATATAGAGAATAATCAGAAAAATAAGACACACCTGGGGTTACGTGATGAGCCAGGGAGCGAAGCGCAGTTCCAACAGGTGCAGAGACTGGCCAACTACCGCTCCACTGCAAGCCAAACCCAGCTCACGATCTATTTCTTACGGTCCAGAAGCTCAAGATGAGGTTTGTATTTATTTTTTTCCGGTTAAACATGAACAAACAAGAATTTTCAACAGAAATGTATATGTGACCCAGGAAGTCTTAAATATTTACTATCTCATCCTTTATAAGAAGCAGAGTTCTGCAACAGGGGAACCCGAATGTCCCCTGTATTTTGATGGCTAGGTAACGTGATGAATTCTTACATCTGCGCATCACCAAATAAGTCATCAAAATTGCAACTGAACAACTATAATAGGTTTGCTTGAGGCTTAAAATGTTTGGAGAAGAGGAAAGACTATAATCTGTGTTATTTATTGACTGCTTATATTTTACAAGAACTGACCGATTTTCATCAACTGACAGACTCAGTAATAGAGCTACAATTAATATGGTTGCACTCCTTAATCTCAGGATAGAGATGACAATTTTATAAATCTCTTGAATTATGAGAACACTACTAGTACTATACAAATCAGCATCACTTAAATTTTCTTTTAAATGATTTTCAATATTACATTTTTAAGTAATTCAGCTGATGCATATTTTCCTTATTTTGGCAATTTGACTTATAAAAGTCCAACCCACGATGACTCTAGAACAGTTACATCATCAAATAAAATTTCCAAGGAAAAATTTTCATCTTAAACAATATGGAAATGATTTTGTTACATTATTCTAAGATTTTACAAAATGTAAATCACATTTAGAAAAAAAAAGTGGGGTTTTTATTAGCTCTAAATAATTAAAGGTTGCCTAGATTAATGTGTTTAAGTAGATTTAACTGTAAATATGTAAGGGAAGTCTGAATTATTGTACATTTTCATAATTCAATGTGAATTTCATACAGAGCAGAATTTCACCATTAAGAAAATAAACATTTTGTTCCTATTCTTGAGTGAATATTTGTAATTTCTATTTCAGCCATTTCTGGAGATTTTAAATCCTCTGAGCTTTTGAGACTGGGGCCATTTTACCATAGCATCTCTTCTTGACTTCTTTGCATGACCCTTCTTTCCCAGTAAATAATGTTTCCTGATAAACAAGAGTTGATTAAGGGAAGTGAATGTATATCTCAGGCTCATCATATAATCTCACTGTAAGTTGTCTTTTTAAAAGTCACGTTACCATGGAGTAATTTAAACAGTGAAAAATCAGATTTCTTGTACATATAACCCCAGCCCAGTTTTAAAAAATATTCTAGCCACAGAAAACCCATACCCCTGAATAACAATTCACTTGGGGGTGAATCATCAGGAGGTAAATATATACTGACACAGAATAAAACAACTTATGTCACTATTTATTAAAAATGTTGAATTGTACATTTTTCATACCTTCACCTCAAGAGAGTCTTTCTTTGTGAATTTAAAGTGGGACTAGACAAGTGACTTACTGGCTAAAAATGACCAGGTTTTTTTTCCCCCAAAGCACTGGTGACGTAGTTTCTGCCCCCTCCCCCATTATACCTCACATGTGTTTGTACACCTCAAGTCTCCATATGGAAACGCTGAGAGATATGGAATCCTGCAAAATATGATGAATGAATCTATGTGAGGCTGTATCTTTTCCTTAGATTCTAATATGGTCTTTTTTGTATAGGGATGTGTATTTCTAACAACCATCTAATTCAGCGTTTCTCAACTCAAGCACTAGTGACACCTGACGTCAGCTATTTCTTTGTTGTGGGGAGCTGTCCTTTGCACCACAGGAAGTTTGTGGCATCCTGGCCTCTACTCACTACATAGATGTGCATAGCACACCCTCCCACCCTACCCAGTGTGACAATCAAAATTGTCTGTAGACATTGCCAAACGTTTTCTGGGTGACAGAGCTGCCCTCGTTGAGAACCACTGATGTAAATTATGGAAGAAAAATTATTTCTGGCGTTATTCACATCAGAATCTGCTTAACTCATTTTTAATGGGTACCCTGATTTCATTCAGGCATTCAGAAATAGAAAAACATACAATAGTCTGTCTGAGCTGTCCTAGTGCTGAATATACATGGTTTCCTTCGCATTTATGTGTTCTAATGGCCTCGAAAATTAAGAATCCAGTTCTCCCCCATGTAATTGTTAGGGATATTCTGTGCCAAGCCAGATTTCACAAGCATTTCCGTTCCATCCGTCCCAGCATTCACAGTTTCCACAGCTACATATTCCATTCCCTGCAATAAAGTTCACAGGGGAGTCATTATTGTGATCGAAATGCACCAAGTTAAAACATGTTATTATAAACCACAGCTGTTCATAATCTAAACCATCCCATCCATCCATCCTCTGCAGATTTTCTTA